GGGCACGGAAAGGGTTGTTTTTGTTTGTTTTTACCTGCTTCGTTTTTAGCGTCTCGCGGGTGTTTATTATGTCTTAGGCGAATAGGGCGCATGGATTCCTCGACATAGACTTTGTTCCCTCCATGTTTTTTTCACACAGTTTACACTTACTTCTGTAAACCATTTTTTGCATGCAAACCTCTTGAAATCTGGGCTGTTGGAAGAGGTAAAATAATCTAGAGCGCGTTGGGGATGGGTAGTAGGAGGCGAGAGCACGTTCTGTCGGACGATGGATTCTTTACACTACCTTACATAGATGAGCACCTGCCTTGGAAAATCAAACATATCGTTAGAAAACCAAACTGCACGTTCGGATAGCTTGGAAGAACGACAACAAACTAAAAATGCATCTGGTGAACATTATTATCTCAAAGCCTAAGTGCCCGGGTGGCAATAAATGTTATTTATGCAGGTCTGGGTCTCAAGGGGTAGCTGCAGAGCAGTGACAAGCAAAAATGTTTGCCAAACTGTAGCCACCTCAGTACCTCGAACTGTGACAGTGACAGTTCAAGGTACTGATTTGTTCAAATACAAGGTACAAATTGTTCAAGTTTACTGATTATACCTGGGAGGCTTTAGACGTCCGGTCTTGATTTGTGTGGGAAGCGCAGTTGCCTCTGTCGCAATTTGTAGCGAATCAGTGAAAGCATTCTTGTCGAGTTTGTTCTTTAATAACAGCTGAAGGTGTACTGAAGGTGTACTGAAGGTGTACACCTTCAGTGTCAGTCAGGGAAGGGCAATTCGCAAGGGTGGAGGGTCTCGCACCACTGATGGCTTTGCGCTGGCTGTTTATGAACTTCAAAATGGTTCCTCTTTTGGCTTCATGCTTAGATATGATATGGGCGTTGCGCAGAAAGCATGGAACAAATATCACAGGTTTTAGCTCCGATAATTTTTTTTTAGCACACGCCAATTGCAACTTGATCAAGTTTTCAGTTGAAGCTGTTTCTGTCTTCACGTGTTAACGTGGAGGTGTACCTGGAGGAGGGAAGATGACAATAAGGCTGGTTTGACCGGTACGTCAGATAAAACATCGTCAAACTGCGCCGCCAGCACTTCGATCGCTTCCATCATTTCCATCGCATTACGCTGACTAGTTTAAGAGGAAGTAGCGGTTGCTGACAAATGTGACGCGCCTGCGGCACTTCCGATAAGAGCGAATCGCTGAGCTTCAGCCATTGCTGTCGTTGGGGTAATTTAGTGACCTGGACTCATTGGTTACCGCATGGCGGGGCGGTGGCGCGAAATGATTGGTCACAGCGGACGGGATGCGCTGAGTGGTGAGGCGCAGCGCGGCCTCCGAAGTGTCCTATACACAGTTTTGAGTGTGTGCCGGCACACTTGACACATGCGTGATTCCAGAGCGTAGACAGTATGCTCGGAGTATGCCTTATTCTTACATGCTACATACTACATACTAAATACTGCATACTTACATACTACAGCGAATTGACGTAGTCACTCAAGCGTGCACTCAACTGGGCGGGGCGTATTCACAAATAAAGGAATCAAGGAACGTTGCCATCAAATTTCGTGAACTGAGCTGAACGGCATCAGCGACGGGGGCAACGTTGTGTCGGCCACAAACTGTTTAGTGACTTCTGCGTTAGCATGCAACACTCATCAACTGGTCCACTCGCTGCGCTCCAAAATACAGTCATAACCGTGTGCATCGCACATTGACTGGCCCGTGAGCTCCGCAATATTACGCTGACCTTCCATGTTCCTGCTTCTGTAAAGACCCGAAGTTCAGCAGCCCTGTAACTCGCTCGGCTTGTCAATATAAGGTTGTGCGCCGTCCACCTATTTTCACTGTTGTCTTGCGAGGGCGATTGCGAGTCATTGATTACAATGCTCATCAGTTTGACAGCCGCATGGGTGAGCGCACGCAGTAGTTAGTAGTGTACAAAGAACACCGCTTTATTGCTGAATTGTCAAGCTTGGCATATCTAGATCCCCCGCAGCGTGGCGTCCGCACTCACAGGCATTGCACGTGAGTCGTATTGGTGTTTCAATTTTGGGTTTGTCTGTGAGGCCCCTGGCATCTATTGTCAGTCACTTGACTAGGCTATCACCATGCATTGAAGCTGTCGGCTCAGCAATCGTGGCGCTCAAACCACTTGCAATGAATGGAGGTGAAAAAGAAGCAAGATCTCAAAGGTCACTCCGGTAAGCCGGCTGATACGTGAGACAAGTCACGTGGCGCAGAAGACAAGCGAGTCATAAATCTTCTCCCTGACTAGTTCCGAAGATAAGAAGGCTTGACCGGAAACCATCTCAATGAAAGATATCTCGGAACACTGTAAAAACGTTGCCGCCGGTAGACGTCCAGGTTCGCCTTGACACCGGCGAACGCGAACAACGAGAAGCGACGAACGCGCCTCTCGCTCAAGACAAGAAAAAGCCGTCTCCGTCTAAGCCAAGGAACGCGCTTATCCATTCTTCAAAGCTACCAGCTTCGTCGGCCAATTCAAGCCATTTTAGAATTGCGGGAACAGAATTAAGAAGTGCGGAATACCACACGCAGTTTGACTTATTGCAGACAGCCCCCCCCCCCCTCCCCAAGCTAGGGATAAGCTTTTTAACGGGTGGTGGAGGGGTGGCTTGAGACTAAGGTCTTTCATCATTGACTGGATGGCAATGACCTTCCGGCAGCAGTGCGTGCGAGGACGCGGGTTCTTACGCAAAGAGGATGAGAGGGCGAGAAGATACTCTGACTTGCCCTGCAAGCGACCTGCCCTGTCCAGCGAGTGACCTATCCTGTCCTGCGAGTGACCTGCCCCACCCTGCGAGCGGCCTGCCCCGTCCTGCGAGCGACCTGCCCCGTCCAGCGAGTGACCTATCCTGTCCTGCGAGTGACCTGTCCCACCCTGCGAGCGACCTGCCCCGTCCTGCGAGCGACCTGCCCCGCCCAGAGAGTAACCTATCCTGTCCTGCGAGTGACCTATCCTGTCCTGCGAGTGACCTGTCCCACCCTGCGAGCGACCTGCCCCGTCCAGCGAGTGACCTATCGTGTCCTGCGAGCGACCTGTCCCACTCTGCGAGCGGCTTGCCCCGTCCTGCGAGCGACCTGTCCCGTCCTGCGAGTGACCAGCCCACTCTGCGAGCGACTTGCCCCAATCTGTGAGCGATCTGCCCCGCCCTGCGAGTGACCTGCCCACCCTACGAACGATCTGCCCCGCCCTGCAAGCGACCTACCCCGTCCTGCGAAAGACCGCGGCCGGACTCGACGGCTCGGTGTGATGCCCAGGCCGCGCACACCGCTCGGAACGGTGGGGAGGTGGGGAGGGGGGGGGGGACGCATTACGTCACAGACCGCTGCGTCCAGACAAAAAAAAAACAATGGAAAAATTAGGACGAAGCAAATCAGACGACAAAGTGTCGACAGAGATCAAAATCGACAGGGATGAAAGTCGCAGGACAAAAATCCGACAGTGATCAAACCTCGCAATTATCAAAGTCGAACCGAAAGAAGGCGAGCGAGATAGCAGACGACTGTGACAACAAACTGTAAAACATTTTTTAGTTCACCTGAGGAACTAAAACACCAACGGGCACCATGAATCAGGCTCTGGTGTTTGTGAAGGACCTGGTGTGAACCGGGGGACCTACCATCAAGTTTATAACACTTAATCAGGTGTAACGGATCACTTGTTTCTGTGATCCGCGACGGCTGTGTAGCCTCTATGTTAACTTTACGGATTAAAGGTCACCACGGTGACATGAGGTCACGAAATTCACTACGGCTGGCGAACTAATGCACTGCGGGTCGCATGGGGAACGGTTTTGGAAGATCGTACCAGTCCGAGTACGGGTCGTCCCTGAGATAAGAGATGGCTGCATAGCTATCTCACGGATAACCACTGGGATGAAAGCCGACATAGTGACCTGTGGTCACTAGATTATCAGCTGCTGGGCAGTATTGAGTTGTTATTTCTACCGTATAGGTTTCAAACGTGGGGCCATTAATTTCCGAGATTGGAGACAGCTGCAGACACGGAGGTGGAGTGGTGCCGTCCGCCTCAGGGGCTACAAAAAGGATCTGTTAAGCTATGACGTCTCCAAATCGAGCCCTCTAGCCCCTGATCTTCTCAGCCAGGGTCGATTAGTCTGGGTCTTTTTTAACCGTTCCTATGTCTTTGCCCGTCTCAGAGAAGTCCCTTTTCCAATCACCCGAAGTCTTAGAGTTTCAAGTAATTTTGGGATGATTAGGAATGTCTCAGTGCGGACAAGAGTCTCAGTCGGCAGATGCCACAGCGTTGGTGAAAGCTCTGGACGGTGAATACTGCATCCAGCCTTATGATTGGTCAAGGCAGAAATCACCAAGGCCCGCATCACTAAATCACCGAAGGATGTATGGGCCCAACCAAAGATGCCAATGGGTGATCAGATGGCTCTTGATGGGCGGAGGATGCATTGATCTTCCTCTGGCCGCTTTGGTGGTTGTCATGCTGATGGTCTCTCTCAGTGAGCGGAGGACGACGGAGTTTCAAAACGCGTCGTTGCGGGGGTCAACTCTCCCACAGACTGTCGAATTGGTGCAACACAGAAGGAAGAACAAAAGGTAATTATAGCGATCATTGTGTTATGACCCATGCAATTGCAATCAAATGGGCCAATAGCACACCGATAATGAAACCTGTCACTGAATCGTCTGCTGTGATTGTGAGGAGCAGTCGATCGATAGTCATCCAAGCTTCTGGCCGCTGGTGTCCAATAACTAGCCTGATTTTTAGCTCCCACCTTTCTGAAAGTTTGTGACGGAGAAGCATGCTCGTGTTCCTAATTGTTGCTGCCGTTAGTGCGCGAGCCGTATCTTACAATCAATTCGATAACTGACATGAGACTGCCATAGTAACGAGTATTTTGATTTCGTGGCTTATATCTCAATTGGTCTTGAAACAACTGCGGTATGATTGTCTACAGTGATTCCGAGTTGTTTTGGTTGACTGAGGGCAGGTGCGGTGAAGGCCGCGCATCGTCGCTGTTCGAAGGGCGTTGGTCGCGTGTTTTTTGTTTCCGACAGGTGGTAAGCATTGTTGAGGTGTTTGGGCGCGGCTTAACATGACACGTTCCAGGTGCAATATTTTGATTTTGCGGTAGATTTCTGATCGTGTGATGAATCGCAATACTACCAGCTGTAACTGTTCTTGGTTTGGTTTGCCGCCCCGCCCAATAACCTGATAGTACGTCACGCCCTTAACATAAGCAGACTGAAAAGGGGTGAAATCATGGAGCGAAATTGGATGCGATAGTGTTTGCAGTATGTACCGTTTCAAGAGGACACCTCATACCAATCAGATGTAAAAATTGCCCTACACAGAAGCATGTTGGTCACGTGGAACATGTCTGGCATAGCAGCAAAATCACGGTAAAAAATTTCAGCCCTCGGCATGCACAACAAATTCACAAATGCAGTATGAATCCTGGTGCTCAGAGTTTCAGGAGTTAAGGCACTATCATGAATATGAGCACATCGAGAGTGGTTGTGCCAAGGAATTGTGATGCTCTGAAGGTAGTTTCAGGTAAAAGTACTCAGGGAATACATAGTTACAAAATTTGTGTGAAAATTCAGAGCAATTTGGCCTGGTCTGAGCTTGACTCACCTGATCCAGGATCTGAGCCAGGGAAAGGTTCGCCCAGCTCACCCACCAGCACCTGCCCATGTCTATTGCATCATTGTCCATCACCTGGAGCAATGTTTCTGCAGAATGTCATGGTACCAATGTTTAGCAGACAGAATTTGTGTATTGCCTGCTTAGAGTTCCACATAAAAGGCATGAACTAATCTTATTCCACACCAACAAATTTTGCAGGATGCTGATGGTAATGATAATGCATGCTAGCTGGTGTTACCTTTTCTTGCATAACATTGACTAAGATCCAATTGAATGCATCTGGAAGTTGTGTTCATGAGAAATGCTGGGAATGATTTGGCATTTGACCTTTTTTTGGCCTTGGTCACCCCATGGCTTATGGAATGGCAGGATTTGAATGATGTTATTATGGTGTCATGAATGCCAAGGTGATCTTCATGTGTTTTCCCCAAAATACTCTGCCCATTTTCACAGGTAGGTAGCTCAAAAACTAGAGGGCTTCAGGTCTTAAAAAGGGCAGGGATGTAGACTGCACCAAAAGGTCTTCATTGTGGCTGTTCAAACACAGTTCAAAGCCACATACAAATATGAAACTTTTTCATAAGCATACAAACATGACTGGGAAAATAAATGGAAATGATCAAAATATGGCAAACCTTTCAAGAACCACTGAACTTTGGAAAACTGCAAAGGTCCATAGTGGACCAGATATGTCGAGCCATGGTGAACTGGGCTAAATGTGTAGAGCCTCATTTAAAGAGGCCTGTTCAGCCTGGGCTGGGCCAGTTCTAGGGTCTGGCTGTCCTACTGCAGGAATGGTCAGGTTCTTCCCATTTTATTTCCCTCCATAGTCTCATCTGCTCCTGGCTGCTCCTTAATGCCTCAGCTATGAAAAGCACCCTAATTCTGTTGTGACCCTGTAATCGCACATCATACCTCAGCTCTTGGAGACACAATACCAGTCAGCATTGGCTTACTGCACCATGATCTTGGTCACCAAGTGCTGCTATGTGCCGTGATTATTTGTTGCTGAGTTGGGGTCTGGTAGCATCAATATTTGATATTTCTAGTTGCATATTTCACATATTTTCCTCTCAGGCTTATGTTTGATGTAAAAGATGTTCCATACTGCAAGATTTTGTGGTATGCTTGGAATTTCAGGTTCAAACTTTCAGAAATTTCGGACTGTAGCACCAACACTGATTTCTAGCCACCTAAACAAATATTCTGCTGATTGATATGCGCTCCACCCTGCCACAGACCCATTTGCTGACCACTATCGAGTGGCTCAGGCTCTGGTCAGCATGGCGGAGCCATCAGTGAAGGTGGGCCAGCGTGTGCAGGTCAAGGAAAGCGCCGGCACGGTCGCCTACATAGGCACCACGCAGTTCGCTGCGGGAAAGTGGATCGGCGTCGTCCTTGACGAGCCCAAGGGCAAGAACAATGGTACCGTGCAGGGCAAGACCTACTTCCAGGTGAGGGATTTTGTCGAGGGATTTTGTCAGGGTTAGACATCTCACTCTTTGGCAAGGTATGGCATGACTCAGGGGGCAGAATGTAGAAGCTGGGTTGTTTGTTCGCTTGTGTTTTCTTTTTGCTGTCTGTGATCACTGTTGAGGCATTTGGGCACCATTGATGCATTGAGGCGTCATTGCATATTTCATTTAACACCAATAATTTAGAACAAGTATGAAATTGCTTTTGGCCCCTTTTCTTCTTGCCATCACCTGAGCTGGAAGGTGTTGGTCATGCCACCTATCCAGTGATGTCACGCGGTGTGCTGGCTGGCACCATCGGCCGCTCAGCTTGGCGCCGGCCGCGCGGTGCGTCTCGTCTAACCTCGCCGGCGCGCGGCCGCAGTGCGGGGAGAACCGCGGCGTGTTCGTGCGGCAGACTCAGCTGACCGTGCTGGACGGGGGCAGCTCGACACCCGGCTCTAAGGCCTCCACACCCGCCGCCGAGAAGCCCAAGAGCCGGTAAGCGCGGCAGGACAGTGCGCTGTGTCGTTCTCCAGTGCGTGGACTGTTGTGGGCACTGCTAACTGGCCCTGACAGACCGTAGACTCTGCCTTGACCACGGCGCGGCGAAGCAGTCGTCTGGCCGACCTCTGGTAGCCACTTGGGCCAGGATGCACACTGACGGAATCCTGAGTGAACGACAAAACATTGTGTTCGGACATGGCTGCGGGTGGGCGCTTTTCATCTGGTGCGCCAGCCAGTGTCCTCCGGTCTTGCGACGCGCAGGTGGCAGGCGGCCGTCGCTGACGGCAGGCAAGTGGTCGTACGTCAGGTGTGACCTGCATCCAACAGCAGCAGGCTCGCGTCGATACCAGCAGCAGCAGCTGGCGGCAGCCTGTACTGTTCACGTTCCCTTGATGCCGTGCTATTTCCCAAGGCGGCCCGGGGTAGTGTCGGAGGTTGTCGTCAAAGCTTCTAACAGAGCGTTGCTCCCAGGGATGCTGATCAACATCGCCTCGATGGGCCACCAGACCGTCGATTCGTGTACGGTATTTCTCCTGAGTCTTGAAGCCTCTTGCTTCGAATGCTACCACTGTCCACGCTGCCACGCTCTGCTGACCTTGAGTTTTCAGCCCCGCGTTGCTGACGCGTCAGCTTTGTGAAGTCTACGCCGTACGGTCACTGCGCGGCGTCCCTCACCGCCTGTACAGTGCCATGCCGACACTGCGCTGGTCCAGCCCCTGTCCGCGTGCCATCAGCTGCTGAGTACCCGATTACCCGCAGCTTGCCGCTGGTGGAGCGTCACCACAGTGCCAGCTTGGAACGACAGCACTGTGCCAGCACTTCATTGTCCCTGTAATGCCTCTGCGTTACTACAGAGGCGCTGTCGTGCCGCCGTGGTGGTGCCGTTGTGGCACCGCTAGATCACCGCTGCGGCCCCGTCATGACGCGCTGTTGGCACCGTTGTGACACCGATCAACCGCTGCCGGGCATTGTCACGACGCCCCTCTGGTGCCGTCGTGACACCGCTGTGCCACCACCGTGTCACCGCCGTGTTACTGCCGTGTCACCGCCATGTCACCGCCGTGTCACCGCCGTGTCACTGCCGTGTCACCGCCATGTCACCGCCGTGTCACCGCCGTGTCACCGCCGTGCTTGCCCGCCGTACTTCACTCGCCGCCGACGCCTCTCGCCACGCCGGCGGCCGCCGGGGCGGGCGGAGCCGGGCGCCCGCGTGACGGCCGTGTGTCCGTGCGTGCCAGCCCCGGGGCGCGGCTGTCGCTGCCGAGCGCGACCGGCGGCCTGTCTCGGCTGCCGCGCCTCTCCTCCGGCGCGCCCGGCCGCGCCGCCGCCGGCCTCGGCCGCTCCCAGTCCGGAGACAACGTGCACAAGTAACGCCGCCGCGCGGGCATGGCGCGCGCGCGCCGGCCGTTCTGTCCTAGACTAGCCGCTGTGGGTGTCCTGCCGGCTGGGTGTGTCGGTGTAGGCCCGCGTGTGCGCGCGGGCGGGACCGACGTGACTAACATGCAGTGAGAGCTGGGGCGAGCTAGGCCGGCGCCGCCGGCCGAGCCGAGCACTTGCCGGCTCCGAAGCGGGGCTGGCTTCGGACCGCCAGGCGGTGAGCTCGACTCTCCGTCGGTCTAACTAACCAGCACAGGCCGCACCCTCCGCGGAGCATTTAGCACCCAGTTTAGACTAGACCCCTTCGGACGTACCCACTCAGAGCACTTGGCATGGGGACTAGACTAGACTCATCGCACTGACGAGCTCCCGGGGACTAACCAGCACTAGAGCTCGACTATTCGGCGTTCTGCACTGTCTGGCGCGCCAACTCCGCCGTTAACTAACGTGCATCCCACGCCCTGGTGGGGCTATTGCTAGCGAGACGTGCGGCTGAGGCGTGCAGGCATGATTCGGACCTGTGAGCTCTGAAGCTCACGAAACATGTTTAGACTGGTGCCAGTATACAGCACCACGCCACATCCACCGGCTGCGCCACGATCCGTTTACTGACAGCCGTCACTATACGTGAGGAAGAATTGCTCTGGGGGGGGGGGGGGGGGGAGTCAGGGTCGCTCCCGACTCGTAAGAAACGGTCATCACGCAAAGCCTCGCGCGCAAAGTCGGTGTGTCTCGGCCGGCCTCGCGGGGAGCCCGCGCGCACCGCCGCTCCCTGCCCCTGCCAGGGACGGCCCGCGGTCCTGCCAGGCGCCGTGTGGTCCCGAGCTGCCTCGCTGTGCTGTCGGCGCGCTGTGGCTTGTCTGGCCCGTTACTTGTCCCGCTGCCTCCCCGCGTGACGTGGCGTCCTGGGCTGTTTGTGCCCGCCTCCGTGGCGTTACCGTCGCCGCCGCTCTGGCCGTCCTGTCCTGTCCCTCACTCGCCTCTGCGCTGAGGATGCTGTGTGGTCTGCGCTTCCCCTGCGCTGTGTCGTCTTTCGTGAGGCTCTCGTTGTGTCGCCTGCTGTGCCCGACGCCGGCTTCTGCTGCGTCGTGCCGCTGTGCTCTTGACCTTTTCCTCCGCGCAGTATCGTCTGCCGTTCCGTGGCCCTGTGTCGTTGCTGTTCCCTAGCACCGCTGTGTCCACTGTATCGCACTGCCGTGCTGCTGCTGTTCCCGCGCCGTGGTGCACACTGTGCGGGCTTCTGCCGTAACGCGCTGCTGTGTCGTTGTCGGCCGGTTTCGTGTCGTCTGCTTTTCTCGGTCGCTGTGCCGGCTGTCCTCCGTAGCGCGCTGCTGTGTCGTTGTCGTCGGCCGGTTCCGTGTCGTCTGCTGTTCCGGGGCGCTGTGCCGCCCGTGCTGGCCGACTGACCATCGGCGCCGTCCCTTTCAGCCCCGGCAGGAGGGAGACCCCGTCTGGCAGGTAGGGCCGTCAGCGGAGGCCCGCGGGAACGGCTGGTCACGGCCTCTGGTGTGGGGCTTGGGTCGCCACGGGCCGGGCTACGGTGTGTCGGGCACGCGCGCTGCGTCACGCACAGGTCACATACTGTGACGGCACGGGTCACGGCTGTCAGGCGCCGGTAACGCGTGTCAGGCACGGGTCACTGGTGCGGGTGTCAGGCACGGGTCGTTGGCGCGGGTGTCAGGCACGAGTCATTGGCGTTGGTGTCAGGCACGGGTCACGGTTGTCAGGCGCCGGTAACGCGTGTCAGGCACGAGTCACTGGCGCGGGTGTCAGGCACGGGTCGTTGGCGCGATGCAGTGCCGGGCGCTGACAGATGCAGTGCCGGGCGCTGGCGCGTGCGCAGTGCCGGGCGCTGGCGCGTGTGCAGTGCCGGGCGCTGGCAGATGCAGTGCCGGGCGCTGGCGCGTGCGCAGTGCCGGGCGCTGGCAGATGCAGCGCCTCGCGCTGGTGCGGATGCAGTGCCGGGCGATGGCGGGTGAGGTGACGGGCACGGGTCTCTGGTCGGGCGTGCGCGACTGCTCGGTGACCGCTGCGAGGGCTGGATCCCTCTCGCGCTGCTCCCTTCTCCGCCGCCACCACCGCTCGAGCTGCCACGCCTCTCTTTCTGTGTGTTGTAGCGTGGCCGGCGTGAAGCGGCGCCGCCTCCTGTGAGTGACCTGAGGGCCGGCTGGCCCGGCCGCGACGGCAGCACGGTCCCCTCGGACGTCACTGTGACCCCGCTCGATGTGTCCGCGTGCAGTGTGCGGGGCTCGGGCGCGGGGCGGCGTCCGCCGGCCTGGCTGGGACGCTCACAGGGGTTTCAGATGGAAGATTCACCACCGGAAACGGAGACAAAACAGCTGTTGCATTAGATCTCGGGTGTGGGGTGCGGATCAGAGACGCCCATATAAGGTCATCTTAAGCCCCTTGGTTTTATGACCCGAATGGCGGCTTCATATGGAGCAGATGAAGTGGGTGTGTGACCACTGGCACGTCTTGAGCTGAGGCGGCCTTCACGGTATCTGTGACGCCGCAGCCAGGCTGTGGCGGGATGGGGAGTGCAGATCCGTAACCCAGAGCCTTCTCTGCACGCGTCTGCCTTTCTTTGTCTCTCTTTCACGGCGGGTGTTTGTCTCTTTGTTCACCGCCGCCGTCTGACGGTGCAACTCCGGCCGCAGAGCCTGCTCTGAAAATCACTCTGAGCGCGAGCCGCGGCGCCACAGCTACAGCGCCGAACAGCACGGCCGCTGTTTAACAGACGGCTGTTCCGCGGCTGAACAGGGCGCCACTGTCGGGGCCACAGCTGTGCCCCGGCTGACGGCGGCTGCGGCTGAGCTGCGCCACTGTCGGGGCCGCAGCTGTGCCCGGCTGGGCGCAGCTGTGCCCCGGCTGACGGCGGCTGTGGCCGGAGTTCGGAGTGGCGTTGCATGCGGGCGCTGTATTGATCTCGGGGCATGCTGCGTCGCCTGTCGGTCCTGCATTGGGCGTTCCGTCCGGTTAGCCGCATTCGGCACCCGTTATCCGTCAAAGGCGAGCATTGTGTTACCCCGTTTATGGGGCTGTAATGAGGCTGCAGTGACAGGTTTTCGGCGTCATTTGTTTCAACTCATTTTTTACTGCAACTTTTGTGGTTAACACGCTGAACATCGTGGATAAATGGTTTCATGTACATATCACGTCGATGGAAACATCTTAGTCCACGGCGCGGAAAAAAAGGTCCGCCTGCATAACTAGGTAGACCAGGACAGTTGTCTTCGTCTTTCCTTCGTCTGGCCGTTGTCGTCGCCGTATATGCCGGGCTGTAGCATCAGCACATCCACTCTGCGCACGCACGGTGCATGCTCGTCTCCGTTCTCTGGTAGTGGCAGCAACTGGTATCGCTTGGGAGTGCTGTACATTCTGAGCCACCACCGCCTAAACTCAATGAGCTGTCGTGTCCTATCCCAGGGACCACGCGTCCGCTGCCACTACCGCTGGCCGCTGTCTGTGTCCTGTCCCAGGGACCACGCGTCCGCTGCCACCACCGCTGGCCGCTGCCTGTGTCCTCTCTGTGAACATGGTGTGGCCTGGTCCCACCAGCGGGGTTGGTAATTGTCTGTGCTGTTGTCATGTTTCCCTCCTGTTTGGCGTCATGTTGTCCGACGTAACCCTGGCTGTTGCAGAGTTCTGCCCATGTCTAGGGTAAAGGTGTGGTCCAGTGACTACTATGCCAACGTGTTTGTTATATGTACCAGAACATATCTTATGTTCCGTACCTGTGCATAGTGAGACAGAAGTGTGCCGTGTCCGCACAGTTTTGAGCCGTCAACTGTTGGTAGGTAACTGTGCTCTCTAGCTTTCCTGGTCACGCATCTGCTTTTATACGCGTGCAACCCGGCAATAGTAACGCCGAAATACTCAATACCATATCACGCGTCGTATATCGGCGTTCATCTCATCTCGAGTGCTGACTGGTTGCAATCAGTTCTCTGCTCCCATGCCGTGCAACTCGCCACCACTGTTGTGGTGAGCCGTCCAGTGTGCTGCCGAGCGTGCGACGGCTGCTCTACTCAGCGTATGTCCCGGTGTGCCGTGACGGCCGTGTCCGCGGCCCTGGCCCGCCGTGTCCGCGCGTGTCCGTGTCCGCCGGGTGTCCACGTCGGCGTGTCCGCGCCGGCAGACTGCCGACCCCCGGCTCGGCCCGCTCCTCGGGCCACTCCTCTCCACGCGAGCCCACCAAGATCAGCCCCAAGGGCCGCAACATGCCCACCAAGAAGGCCTCGTCGACGCTGGAGATCTCGCCGAAGAAGGAGCGCACCGCCGCCGGCGGCTCGACGCAGGATCTCAGCGGCAACAAGCGCGCCTCGTTCGTGGAGGTGGGTCGGGCCGGGCCGGGCCGAGGTGGACTGGGCGGGTCGGGCCGGGCCGAGGTGGACCGGGGCGGGTCGGGCCGGGCCGAGGTGGACCGGGTCGCGTCGGATCGGGCCGGGGCTCGTTCTGTGGGTACTCGCAGGGTGTGCTCACCTGCTCTCGGTGTCTAGCCGGCGGGGAAGTTGGGCGCGATGATGGGAGTCGTGGCCATCGCGGGGTTGTAGTTCGCCGCGTGCAGCAGCGGAGGGGATTGGCGTCGAGGCTGCTGGACGGACTGAAGTCGTGGTCAGAGAAGCGGATGGCGACGCTGGGATATCCAGACGCGACCATTAGGACCGCAAGCTCGACTAACTAACCGCGTGTGTCACTTGCGAGCCATCACGATTAACTACATACTATCGGCGTTGAAATTGTTAAGCTATGATCGTTGTCGACAGCTTTGGCATGCATGTTTGTCGGTGCGGAAGTATTCATTGGAGCTGGTGGTCTGCGTCGTTCGCCGATCCTGGTCCCTCACGCCCTCCCGGCATTGTCTCGCGCCGACGCAGACTCCTCCTGGTGTCGGCCTGCCGATCGATCCTCGAAGCTCCTCGCTCCTCATCCCTCGAAGACCGGCCCTCGATCGCTCCCCGCTAACACAGACACGTCCGTGCGCAGACCAACTTCGTGGAGAGCCCGTCGCCGGCGACGCCGGGTCAGGTGGGGCCGCAGGTCACGCCAGCCAGCGCCGACCAGCAGCGCGAGATCGAGAACCTGCGTGACGAGGTCAAGGACCTCAACGAGCGGCTGGAGACACTCAAAGGTGTGTCCCGTTCGGGGCCGGCACGGAGCTCGGGTCGGGGGAGACAGGTGGGACAGCGTTTGTGCCGAACGCGACGGCTGGCCGGAGCGGTGTGGTAATGAGTGTTGGTGTTTCCTGGGGTAGTGGCTGCAGTCGGCCGCGCGGCAGCCGCGTGGAGGGTTTTGATTCTCTTTGCGGGCTGCATACTATCTATATAGCGGGTTATGCGTAAATGGACCCTAGAGGTGCAGTCTGTTTATCTGTGCTGTTGCTTTATGTTGCAAATGATGCTGCTGCTGCTGGTGATGATTATGATTATGATAATGATGATAATGATGGTGTGGAGCTTAAACACCGACACCCGTGTCTGAGATTAGTCGACGAGCTGTGTGTTTCTCACTCATCGATCATCTAACCGCATTCGCAGCCAAGCGGGCCCAGGACCGCGACAAACTGAAGGAGTTTGACAAGGCCCGCATTCAGCTGGAGCATCTGCAGGAGTTCAAGGCCCGCATGCTGGAGCAGCAGGCCCAGCTGCAGAAGGAGGTGGGCGGCGCAGCTCGGCGGGGGAGGGGGTTCGGTCAGGGTCGGGGTCAGGGGTAGGGGCAGGGGCAGGGGCAGGGTCAGGGTCAGGGTCAGGGTCAGGGTCAGGGTCAGGGTCTCGGGGCGGGACTGCCGCTGCGCCTGTGTGACCAGGTGCCTACGCTGGTCGGTCAGGCTCCCGTAGAACCGCGCAAGGGTGGGAGCTATAGTGGCTGGTTTAGTGGTTTGGTGGCCGAGGACTGGGACTGGTAACGCCACGTAGTTCATTTGAAATGTTGCGCCCTTTCTGATCAAGGTAGGTGAGCAATCTGCAGTACGCAGGAGCTTCACACGTGTAACGCCTTCTGCCGAGCCATCAAAGCGAACCACGTGGAATGTCTGCAATCGATTCCTGCCACCGTCCCGGACCCACCAACTCCCCGGGCCCACCATCGCCCCGGGCCCACCACCGCTCCGGACCCACCACCGCCTCGGGGCCCGCCACCGCCCCGGGCCCACCACCGTTTTGGACCTACCACCGCCCCGGTCTTGGCTCGCCGCCGCCGTCAGTGACGTCAGACCCTGCGCACGCGGAGGCTGACTGTGCGCGCGCCACTCCACAGCTTCAGAAGGCGCGACAGGAGCGGCAGGAGGCGCTGGAGGAGCACCAGCGCGTCCAGGAGGAGACGGCAGACGCGCAGGAGACGCTGGAGATGGCTGCTCTCGACAAGGAGATGGCCGATGAGAAGGTAGGCTGGCTGGCCAGCCACCGCCGGTGTGGTGTTGTGTTGGCACTGACGCTGACGCCGACGCCGTCGTGGGACGTGTCCTGGAGAGGGCGTGAAGTGGCTTGCTGCGCCAGTGTGTGATGCTGGTCAGTAAGCCTGCACACAGTTTGACGGGTTTTGTGGAAGATGTGCGCTACGTTGTGGCGGATCTGAGCTGGGAAGTGCCTTCTTGGAAGTGATGCTTTGCGCTCGTGGCTGCTGCGCATGACGTACATGTGCGTTGTAGTCTTCGAATGATTTGTCGCGGCGCGGATAAGGCCAGGTGACTTGGATCGTATCACAATGGGATCAAACTTGGACGAGGCCCGCCCGGCCGGGCCCAGCGCGGCTCGGTCGTCCTCAGCTGGTCGTCTGTCCTCACTCCCGGGGTTAGCCGCGCTGGGCGCTGCCGTACCGACCGTCATGACTTCTGACCCGCCGCCCCCTCACCCTCCCCTCGCAGGCGGAGACGCTGCAGCTGGAGCTGGACCAGGCCAACGAGCGGATCGAGGAGCTGCGGCTGGACCTGCAGATCCTGCAGGAGGAGGTACAGCAGCGTGGCGAGAGCGGCGAGGCCACCGCCACCTCCTTCCAAGTCAAGCAGCTCGGCCAGCAGAACGACCGGCTGAAGGAGACGCTGATCCGGTGAGCAGCGCCGCTGGTGGGGAAGGGGTCCACTCCAGACGGCGTCGCTGGTGGGGAAGGGGTCCACTCCAGACAGCGCCGCTGGTCAAGAAGGGGCTCACTCCAGACGGAGCTACCTTGCTGGCATGCATCCAGTCTCCCTGCACCACATCCTCTCATTAGATTGTATTGGAGAGGGGTCCGAGACGACATTTTAATAGCCGTTCTTTAGAGTTGTAACTGGTCCTTTAAACGGCGATTCCCAATGTCTATGCTAAGCGCTGTTTCGGCTTCATGCTCACCGAATGCTGATAGGTTTCGTGTTTGTTGTAGGCCCCACTCATCCACATGGTCATCGTCGCCACTACAGCTGTCATCGCAATGCCCGTCTTTGTTATGATAATCATGACCGTGACCATGATAATGATCGATTACTCTTGTTTCGGCCACCGCCATCCTCTCCCCCGTCGCCACCGTCACGACCATCCGTTGCCAGCATGCGCGACGTGGCCGCGCACGACAAGCACGAGCTGCAGCGTTCGCAGAAGGAGATGGAGAAGCTGCGCGCCGACCTGACGGAGCTGGGCCGCGAGCGGGACCGGTTCCGCGGCCGCGCCGCCGAGCTCGAGGCCAGCATCGCCGACCTGCAGGAGCAGGTGAGACGGGGCGAGGCGAGGCGAGGCGAGGCGAGGCGAGGCGAGGCGAGGCGAAGCGAGGCGAGGCGAGACTAGGCGGGGCGAGGCGAGGCGGGGTGAAGCGAGAGGCGAGACGAGGAGGGGTGAGGCGAGGCGATGCTGGGCGAGGCGAGGCGAGGCGAGGCGAGGCGAGGCGAGACGAGACGAGACGAGACGAGACGACGAGACGAGACGAGACGAGACGAGACGAGACGAGACGAGACGAGACGAGACGAGACGAGACGAGACGAGGCGAGGCGAGGCGGGGCGGGGCGGGGCGGGGCGGGGCGGGGCGTGATGCGTCGCTCACGGGCCTCGACCTGCGGTGGCGGGCGCCGATCGCGGATGGTAATGGTGCCAGCGTTTGTTGGGTGGTGTGCGGATGGCGTTGCCGTATTCGGCCGACGTGTGAGGGTTCTGACCGATGGTCGCAGACATGTCTGTCCAGATGGTTCAGTTGGTTAGAGCGCATGCTTTCCGTTCCACTCGCCCGTGGAAGGTTGGGTTCGAGTCGCTTTAGGCGCTTGCTATTTGCCCATGACAGGTATGGCCTGCGGCCGGCGGCAGCGGCCAAACTAAAGGTCAGTTGACGTCAGATGGCAGGACAGACCGTGCCAAGTATTACAGCTCGTTACAATTTCGTCTCCAAACTCTGCCGCTGACCTAAAATTGTGCGATCGGTTGATAGAGGTCAGGGCTCACACAAGCACCACATAGCGTGAGCTCTGATCCCAGAATCGTCATTGCCATCGTCGCAGATACGCCGTTGTGTTCTCCCCGAAATCGAACGCCCTAGCGTTCCCTTTCCGCAACCGTGCCCTAGGTGCGCCGGCTGCTGGCGCGCCCTCCACTGTGTTAATGACTTAACTTGGATCACATTGAATGGCCTGTTTGACTGCAGCCATTTGGCGTCGTTGGTGAGGGAGTTTTGTGGACGTGCTAGTTAAGTGTGGTCATGGCTGTGGCTGGGTAGTATACTGTGCCAGTCATCCGCATTCTTATAGCGACGGCTGTAGTCAGCTGTGCTGCTCGAACTGTGTCGGAAACACCTAATTGTTATTCATAAGCGTGAGGTACACCGCCACCTGCCTGTACTTGGCCGCGTTCCTCATACAGCGCCATCTCCATCCGTAGCGGCCTCTTGTGCCAACAGGCTTGCCCCTGTCCTCTGACCTGCCCGTACCCGCCACTCTCGCCCCTTCCCATCAGCTCCCCCTGTGCCATCAAGCCTGCCCGCATCCTCTAATATGCCCGTGCCTGCCACTTTCGCCCCTATCCATCAGTTCCCCCTGTGCCATCAGGCCTGCCCCCTGTCCTCTAATCTCCCCGTGCCGGCCACTCTCGCCCTTCCCATCAGCTCCCCTGTGCCATCAGGCCTGCCCCTGTCCTCTAATCTATACCCGTGCCGGCCACACTCGCCCCTCCCATCATTTCCCCCTTTGCCATCAGGCCTGCCCCCTGTCCTGTAATCTACCCGGGCCGGCTACTTTCGCCCCTTCCCCTCAGCTCCTGCTGTGCCGGCCAGGCTCGCCCCTGCCCTCTAACCTGCCCGTGCCCGCCGCTCTCTCCCCTCCTCAGCTGCTCCCGTGCCAGCCAGGCTCGTCCCGGCCGCTCTAACTCCCGTCATGACCGCCAGGTGGACGCGGCGCTGGGTGCCGAGGAGATGGTCGAGCAGCTGTCGCAGCGGAACCTGGCCCAGGAGGACCGCATCCAGGAGCTGACCGAGGAGCTCTCCACCATGGAGGCCCTCCACGACGCCAACGAGGAGATCGCCGAGAACTTCCGCGAGGTGGAGCTGGAGCTGAAGCAGGAGCTCGACATGAAGACCGGCCAGCTGCGCCAGGTGCGGCCGACGACGGGCGCGAGGACCCGGGGAGAGGGACGGGGCCGGAGCACCGGCTGGCGGGCGGGAGAGCATGGGCTCGGCGGCAGAGGAGTGGACGGATTGAGGGTCATGTCCATGGGGCAGTCTGTGGCCACACCGAAGTCTGTCAAGTATGTGGTTTTAACGGCGTGGATTTTGCTGGGGAGCTGTGCCCGATCAGTGGGTCCGGACCAGTAAATCAGCACCGGACCTGATAATACCCAAGTGTGTGCGTGTATATATGTGTGCGTGTGTGTGTGTGCGTGTATGTGTGTCGGCGGGGCTCAACGACGCGCTCAGCTGCTGAGGCCATAGGGCGTCGCCTGCCTCCCGCCCTGGTAGGAGGGATGGACACACGTGATATCTGAGAAATGAACAACGAGCCTCGTTGGATGCGTGTTGTCCGCGTTTGCCCGTTTGCCAGTTTTTCTGTTGCGCCAGCTACTCTTCCACGTTGCTCGGCGCCTCCCCACCTGGTCCACCTCTCCACGTGCATGCCTCAGGTGGAGCGGAGCCTGGAGGCGGCGCACGAGGTGATTGCCGACCACGCCAGCACCATCGGCAAGTTCCGCGAGCTGGTCCAGCGGCTGCAGGACCAGAACGGCGAGCTGCGCGCCCAGCTGGAGCGCGAGACCAACAAGCCGGTCGGCGTGCCGGCAGAGAAGATCGACTTCAAGGTGGGCGGCGGCTGTAGCGTTGGTGCCCGACGGATGTCCAGCGCGTGGCGAGTTGGGGTGCTGGGTGCTGCCTGGATGAGCCTTGTATAGGGAGCTGGGGAAATTGTGGTTTGTTGTTCGTGCTGGGGTGTTTCGTCTTGCTTCGAGCTGGACAAAACTGTCGTGGTGGTGGTGTTTGAACGCAGCACGCATTTGCTCCCCCTTCCCCATCCCCTGCCCGCGAGCGATGTAAAATTAAAGGCCGGCGGTACTGTGTAAAATGCAGCTCCCATTGTGTCTCAGATACTGCGAACGTGTGGTTCTGGGGTCGTTAACGGCGTACCGCGCATGTAGCACGCTGTGTGCCAGGGATGAGCTCGCGATGCTGACAAGTTTTGTTTGTTCCGCGCAGAAAATGTTCGCGGAGACAAAGGCGCATGCCAAGGCGATTGAGATGGACCTGCGGAAGATCGAGGTGCAGCAGTCGAACCGTCACGTGGAGCTGCTGGCCAACTTCCTCCCCGACAGCTTCCTCGCCAGGGGAGGTGGGCTGGCGCCGTATTTTTCGTTTTGTTTTCTGCTCCGTGGGCATCTGTATGGTGAGGTGGCCCTATGTCCTTTGTTGTTTGTTCCTCGCTTCCAACTCGTGGGTGCGCCGCGATACTTAATCTTATTAGGGTTTCAAACGTCCGTTTGAATAGCCATTTGGATGACCGGTCAGCCTGTCACATCAAGTGATCTTCAATCCTCGAATGGTATTGGATTTTTATCCGACTCCTTAACTGCCGGCAACCGCCTGCGTGTCCCCGCAGAGACTGATCTCGCTCACCTTGTCCAGTCTGGGCGAACACCACCTCCTGACCTCCGGTCCCCCCACACCCTGACCTCGGGTCCCTCCCGCCCCCTGACCTCCGGTCCACCCCGGCCCCTGACCTGCGGTCCCTCCACGTATGGGACCATTGCGCCTCCCTCCACCCTGCCACCAGACCTCCGGTCCCTCCGCAGGGGATCACTGCGCCTCCCTCCACCCCAGCCCCTGACCTCCGGCCCCTCCGGTCCCTCCGGTCCCTCCGCAGGGGGCCACTGCGCCTCCCTCCACCCCAGCCCCGGACCTCCGGTCCCTCCGCAGGGGACCACTGCCCCTTCCTCCGCTCCGCTCCTTGATCTCCGGTCGCCCGTAGGGGACCACGGCGCCACTCTCCACCCGGCTCCTGACCTCCGGTCCCTCCACAGAGGGCCACGACGCCTCCCTCCACCCGGCTCCTGACCTCCGGTCCCTCCACAGAGGGCCACGACGCCTCCCTCCATCCCGCCCGCTGACCTCTGTTCCCTGCGCAGGTGACCACGACGCCGTGCTGGTGCTGCTGTTGGTGCCGCGTCTCTCGGTGAAGGCCGAGATCCTGCTGGCCCAGCTGCGTGACAAGTACCCGCCGCCGGCCACCGTCGACAAGGCGGCCGTGCTGAAGACGCACGCCGTCGAGCAGTACTGCTTCGGCGCCCGGCTGGTTCACCTCCTGCTGGCCCTGCAGGTGGGCGCTCACCGCACTCCGGCCGCGATGGCCGGAGCGGCGGGGGAGGGTTGATTGGGTTGGGTGGTGTCAGTGTAGTTTTTGGTGCGGTTGGCGCGGTGCGTGAAGTACTGGAAGGTCTGAACAAAATTAAATTTAGTCTGAACAAAATGAAAGACGTGTCGGTTGTTCAAAAAAGCCACCTTTCAGACTGAATAGGCTTAGAAATTTCGGCGGTATTTAAATTCGGTAACAACCATTGGGCTAGAAGTTGGAGTTAGTCACCATGTCCAAGGCACGTCCAAGGCCATGCCCCGTGAAGCATGGACAAGGCTATGTCACCGTTGGTGGGTGTTTTCAAACACATTTGAAAGAGGCGCCGCGCGCGCACCAGGCACGGCACCTCATTGTGATGATGCGGGACACTTGAACAGAGACCGGGTGTTCCACGTCGATGGCACTGGAGCGGCCAGAGTCGGAGGGGAGGAGGAGGGGCGGGGAAGCGAGCCTGTGACGGTATTGTTGATGTCACTGGACCATCGCCGGCGCAGTGATACCTCCACGGTCTGTCGCCCCGACGCAGCATGCCCCTGGGTTCGCTTGTAGGGTTATGTGGTGGGGAGTGCTGAGATGGAGGGTCTGAACCGTGTTGGGTTGTGCACAGCTTTTCCGGCCCGATTGTCTGTCAGCCCTCACGGCTGCAGGCAGGTACTGTGGCCCTGCGAGGGTGCTCCTCAACAATAGGTGAAGACCGTGTGCGCACCGATCACGCGGTCTTCTAGCGTCAGTATGCCGCTGTGTGACATGCTGCCCGCGTCCTTGGCTTAAACGTGACTGCGTCCCACGTGTTCCCACGTGGGAGCGCGTGCAGTGTTTCTGACTCGCTACTCCAGTGGCCACTCTTGCGTCACACGCAGTAAGCCGCCCCTCCCCCCGCCGCCTGCAGACCAGCCTGGACCAGTACCGCAGCGCTCTGGACACTGTGGACGTGCCCACCCTGCTCAAGATGGGCACCCTGTACCCGGAGATGGCCGCCCAGGAGCGCGGTCTCGACTTCTACATCGAGCTGCTGCGTCAGGACCAGGTGACGACACCAGCCCGGGCGGGCGCTGCGCCGCGGGGCCATGGCGCCGGGGGCGAGATCCGTTGGGCAGAAGGCAGGGCACAGGCTGGTTTGTGCTGTGCATGACACACATCGAGATGTGAATAGTGTTGGCTCATGGGTGTGGGCGACAGTGCAAGCGTCACCATCTGTGCTCGCAGTGTCGTGGTTGTAAGCAACGTGTGACTTACCGTTGCTCAAAACGGTTTATTTGACGCTGCTGAACGTCCGTCCGAGCTTCTGGTGAGCCACGTTCGGCACGTGGCTTTCTCACATGGCGCTGGTGCTTTCTGGCGTCGGTGTGTGTTCCGTGACATTATTCGTCTCTGCCGGCGCAGTTGGGCGAGAACGTCAGCCTGGAGAACATCGAGCGTGTGGTCAACTACTTCACGGCGCTGTACCCCACCCAGCTGGCGGCCGCGGCGCCCGACCACTACAGCCATCTGTTGGCCGCCGCCAAAACCATGAGTTCCGGCTGCGCCTCCATCGAGGCCGAGGCGCAGCGGCTGAAGGTCTGTGGTGTGTCACTGTGTTCCCACAGGCGGGTAGCATTCACAGCGCCGGCTTTCCAGCATGCTATGCTCATTACGGCGACCTTCGGATGATGTTAAACGTTCCCTCATATCCTGGCTGACATGTGGGCACTACATTAGGTGCAGCCCACGGCCACCAGTCCTTGCTGCCCGCCGTGCAAGGCGTCGTGGTCGGGGTCCGTTACATCGACTGGTTCGTGTGGCCAATGTGGCCCGATCAGCTGCAGTCTGTCTCTGTCTGACGTTTGCAGATGCCTGTCCCGTGCGTCATACGGCCTTCCCTTCCCCACGTGGCCCGCTCCCACGCCCTCGTCATGCGCCTCATCCTCGCGTGGTCGGCCCCCGGCCGCTCATCGCCCGTCTCCAGCACGCCATGGCCGCCGCCGGCGGGCGCGCCTGCCTCTGACCACAGCCCGTCTGCCGCAGGTGATCTCGCAGGAGGGCGAGGCGCACACGCTGTTCGGCTGGCTGGCGGCCACGGCCGAGGCGTGTGGGCAGCTGGCCAAGCGGGTCCGGCGCCGGCTACCGCAGGACGGCTCGGCCGAGCGGCTCTCCTTCCCGGACGAGGTGCGGGCGGGCGCCGCGACGCGAGCCGTGGGAGGGCCGCGGCGTTAGATGTGGCGTCGCCGGTCGGAGGTTAAGGGCGTGTCGAGTTTCAGATTGTTTAGAGCCCAGCCTTAAGACTGCTTGAGCCGACCGTCGCGTTACAGAGATGATCCCGTCGGATTATCCGAATGAAGGAACACACGGCGCCGCCCTACTAAGACCCACCAGCACCAAAGCCCCCAATCTGCCGGCTCGAGTAACCCCCGTGGCGTACAGGAGCACGAAGCCTCCGAGTTATGAGGTGGTCAGACGCTATCATAGCCGGCCGCTCAGTTTTAGCTTTCTTGCTGGCTATCAGCGCGCGTTCCAGCTTCGTTTCCCACGCCGCTGGAGCCGACGTGAATGTGACCGCTGCTTGGGCCGACTCTGCAGGTAGGCGAGGAGATCGCCGAGGTGCTGCGACACCTGCACCGGGTCAGCACCGTGGCGCGAGACGTGGGGCGCGCCTGCACGCCCCTGCTGGCCGGTCTGCCCGGTGAGAGGCCGCCGGCGGACGCCCCAGGGGTTGGCGGTCATCAGTGGGGAGGCGCGGGGCTCGCAGCGCCGGACTGCGAGAGGTGCAGCACGGATTTGGGGCACGACGGCCTGCGCAGGCTCTGTCAGTGGGCAAACAAGTGACGGTTTTCTTTGACACAGGTGGTGCACGACAAAAAGCAGCGGGCGCCCCTCGAATGGTAGTGAAACCGGCTGGCAAACAGGTGTCACACACCTGAGCTGTCGCCATCCGTTGCCAGTCGCCGTCATCTCGTCAAACCTTTCATGTTTTTTCACTGTTGACTTCCTTCGCCGTTGCCAGACGTGGAGGCCGGCCTGCCGTCGGCCAAGACGCTGGAGGCTGTGGCTCGCAGCGTTGATCTGGTGTACGGGGCGGACGACAACGGCGCCGACTCGCTGCGCAGCTCACTGACGCTCGTCAGCGACAAGCTGGCCCGCCTGGCCGACGCCTTGGAGAAGGGCGAGTACGACTTCGACGGCTCCGTGCCCGAGAAGGTAGGCGGCGGCGGCGGAGGGACGAGCCGGAGCCGGAGGCGAGGGCCGGGCCTGGTGCTGGGAGGCGGCATGTAATTGTGAAGCTGGGCAGTCCGGCCACGTCGTCGGCTCCAGGCACGTCAGTGCGAGGTTTTAAAAGTTAGTCACAGGTCAGAGCAAGATGGCCATCTTTGATGAGAGGCTGTTGCACTGGCGCTTACCTGCGCTGTAAACGCGCTGCGCTGCGCTGTGTGTATGTTGCAAAGCGTTCTGGTGGTGCCAGTGCGCTCCGCACCGCGTCTCCGCGGAGAGGAGACCGTCTCGCAGCCGCCTGGTGTTTGGAGGTTGACTGTTCGATCTCGCGTGCCGCCTCCCCATGCCCCCCCCCCCCCCCCTCCGGCAGCCGACACCGCCGATCGAGCTGCGCATGCGCGCCGTCAAGGCTGAGATGCTGGAGAGCAGCGGCATGAAGGCCAAGCTGAAGAACCGCGAGGAGGAGATGAAGGAGCTGAAGCTGGCCGTCAAGCTGAAGGCTGAGGAGCTGAGCGAGGCGAACGTGCGCCGCGAGATCGCCGAGAAGAAGCTGTCGGGCTCCACGAAGGACGCCGACCTCACCATCGAGAAGCTCCAGGTCAGAGGTGGCGCCCTGACCGCGCTGGGGAGCGGGGGCCGATACTGGGTGGACCAGTGGGCGGTGTCCTGGTTGGCGGCCTGGTGATGTGATAGGGAAGACGGCATCACCTGATGGTGACAGGAAGGTGCTTCCGCCGTGCTTTTCAAGTACAGGAGCTATTCGGTTTGTCTCGTTGTTACGTGTGCGCTGGATTACTCGACCGATAATAATTGCGTTCTTGCCCCGTCTTCTGAGACATATTGGTTGTCATTTTCCAAGGTCAAACACGCATTATTTAATCTCCTGTTGAACGACCAATCATTCACAATCAAATCAAGCCAGTCAAACCAATCAAACAGATCATTCGATAAGTTTCCACGATGGCAACGCTGTTTGGTTTTGCACACATTCCTGTCGACCATACCGTGAACTGCGCGCACATTGAACTCGTGAACCGTTCTGGTGACCCATCAACCTCTGCGTCTGGCGTGGGGCGCTGTTTGGCGACGGCTCCGCCGGGCGGCGCTAGCGTCGCGCTCACCGCCCTCTCGGCCGGCAGCGCAAGCTGGACGACGCCACGATGCTGCTGCGGCGGAAGGAGCGCGAGTCGGAGGAAACGCTGAACCACCTGCAGACGGACCTCGAGTCGCTCGAGTCGGAGCGCTCCGAGCTCAAGGAGAAGCTGAAGCTGATCAACAAGCGCGCGCTGATCGAGGGCCTCACCAAGCCCAGCGGTGAGTGGTGGGCCGCGGCGGCTCTGCCGGTCGAGGGGCGGAGAAACGGAAACCGGTCGGTATTGGCACGATCTCACGACGGTTTTGTTAAATCAGCCGGTGTTGTTGCGTCTTTCAGTCGCTTGCGCGGAAGCGTTTCATGACCCATGCTGTCAGCAATAGTCAGCATCTGTATTCCGGCCCCGGGGCATCCGCACCCCGAAGAGCGTTTGCCCCGGCCACTGTTGATATGAACCTGACACCCAGAGTCTACGGCTGTGTGCGGATCTCTGTCGGCTTCTGGGTGGCCTCTGGAGTAGAAACAGGCAAGATCAACGCAAAACCGCGGGAAGCCTTATCTCTGCGAAAGAGGCGTCGCGTAACTCAATGTCCAGCACAATTCTCCGAATCTCGGCATCGCAAGTCAGACGGGACACACGCGGCACCTTGTTTATATGACACAGTCGCGCACGGCTGAATGCTGGGTAACCGGGGCGTCGTCTCACGGTCTGCAGCTGGCCACCCGCGACCTGCCAGCCTTCCGCAACCTTGGGACATGACCTCGGGATCTGACACCCTACCTCTGTCCTTGTGACATGACCTCCGGACCGGACGGTCTGCCTCTGCCCCTTGCGACATGACCTCCGGACTGGATGGTCCGCCTCTACCCCTGTGACCTGACCTCCGGACCTGACAGCCTGCCACTGCTCGCGTGACCAGACCTTCGGACCTGACACCTGGCCTCTGCCCCTGTGACCTGACCTTCGGACCTGACACCTGACCTCTGCCCCTGTGACCTGACCTCCGGACCTGGCAACTGGCCTCTGCTCCTGTGACCTGACCTCCGGACGTGGCACCCCGCCTCTACCGCTGTGACCTGACCTGTGGACCTGACACCCCGCCTGTGCCCCTGTGATGGTGACGCTGAGCGCCGGCCGGCAGGCTCCATGTCGCCGGGCGGCGGCGCGTCGCTGCCGCCGGCGGCGGTGCGCGACTCGCCGATGCTGCTGCAGGAGATCGCCAGCCTGCAGCAGGCGCTGCAGCGCCAGAGGACGGAGATCTGCGACCTGCGCGGCGCGGAGGCTCGGCGCCGGCTGCAGGCCATGCTGCCGCTTAAGGTGGGGTGCCGCCGAGGCCGCGGCGGTGAGGTGCCACCGGTCCCAGCGCTAGGCAAGGTGGCGGTTCAGTGCTGTTTGTGGTGGGACGTTTCTCTGGAGCTCGGACACTGCGGCGGTGGATGCCGTGGCCGTGCTCAAGGGGGGGGGGGGGGCTGCAGGCCGGCCGCACGGTACCTTTCGTGCTAGCTGGGCCATCGATGGCAGACAGCGTGACGCCCCTCCCCCAATGCGCCGCTGCGGGGCCGGCGGGCCGGCTGCGCTGCCGGGAGCGGTCACCTTGACTCGGTGGCAGACGTCGCACTATCACCGTCGGTATCGCTGACGGTCGCGTTCGGCGAATGTGGCGGGGTGTGCCCTGGAACATGAGCTGCCCGCTGGCGGGGGACTCGGTCGCGCCGGCGCCGCCGTCTCTGGCAGGGTAGGGCCGGCTTACTAACGCAGCAGGCCGGCGGCGAGTGGCTGAGAGCCGGCCGACAGGCCCGGCCCATGTGGGGGGCCGCGGATCGCCCATATCGCGGCCGCGCCCGTCGCCGGCCGGCGCCTGACGCGGCGGCGGGGTGACGCCGACGACACGGCGCTGCCTCGGCTGGTGCCGACCGCTCGGCTGGGATGGGCCAGAGATGCATAATTCATCGGCGCAGCCGTACATCGCACGATGCCTCGGGATATGGAAATGGCGACGCGTGAATATTCTGCGTAGGCTTTTTCGCTTCCGGTGGGTTCGGCGCCGGGCGTCGTTTGCGATGACAGATGGGATAACTGCACCCTGCCCGGTTGTCCGGCGGCGCGATGACGTGAGGCCTGTGTGGATGCAGCTGTCGGCTATCTGGTGCAGCGTGACTCTCGGCCCTTATTCGTGCGGCCCTACCCCGCGCCTCACCGGGACGGGTCGGCTTCAGGTACCCAAGCTTCCGCTGTCCATGGACGAGGACTACAAGGACCTGGAGAACCGCGCCACCAAGCTGCAGTGGGTGAGTGCTGTGGCCGCTGGGAACGTCCGGAGGGCGGCGTTACGCCCGCGTCAGTCGTCATCGCGGTCGCCGACGGGTCTCCCGCGGCCGTCACGGGTATCCGCAACCGCCGTTGACGTTGCGTGTCGCTGAAGCAGGCGAGGACATTTTTCCCAGCAGGGTTCCCTCGCGCACGCAAGGGCGTCAGCGTTCCGTCCTCGTGCCCGCCGCGGGAGCCGGTGCAGCGTGGTGCGTGCCCGACGCCGCCGTCCGCCCTCCTCAGGAGCTGATGCAGCACGAGTGCCACCCGCCGGTGCCGAACCTGAGCCGGCCCGGCTGGCGCGCCGAGTTCGCCGCCGCACGTGCCGCCGCCGCCGCCCGCCTGCGCGCGCTCGACGAGGCCGGCCGTCAGCTGCGGGACGACGTGGCCCGTTACGTGGCGCGCCGGCGCGCCGGCGGCGCCGCGCTGGCCGACTTCGGTCTCTTCCCATCGGACGCCGTGGCGCAGGTGGGCTGAGACAGGCCGGAAGAGGGGACGGGATCCGGGGAGTTTAGGACAGAGGAGGATGGGCTCACTGATCACGAAATGGACTTTTTTCGATAATTAATTTGCAGTAAGAACGTGTGGACCGTTGGTAAGGAGAAGTCATCCATCGCGGACGCTAAGATTACGAAATCACTGATAACAGCAGCACGTGGTCACGGGTGGTGTGTCCCCCCCCCCTCCCCTGCTGCCCCAGCGCCTCCTGCGTCAGCTGACCTGGCCGCGGTGGCCGTGTGACCCGCAGACGCTGTCGGCGGGCCCCGGCCAGCTGGTGGGGCGCGTCACTGTGCCCGGCCCGGCCGCGCCCTGCGTACCGCTCGACGTGACGCCCGACGACGTGGAGCGCATCCACCGCAGCCTGGTGGCCCTGATCGCCGTCTGAGCGGCAGCCTGGCGGCCCTGATCGCGGTCTGAGCGGCAGCCTGGTGGCCCTGATCGCCGTCTGAGCGGCAGCCTGGTGGCCCTGATCGCCGTCTGAGCGGCAGCCTGGCGGCCCTGATCGCGGTCTGAGCGGCAGCCTGATGTTCCTGATCGTGGTCTTAGTGGCAGTCTGGTTATCCTGGTCGCAGTCTGAAGCGCAGTCTGGGCGGTCATGATCGCGGTCTGAGCGGCAGCGTGTGGCCCTGATCGCGGTCTGAGTGGCAGTCTGGCGGCCATGATCGTGGGTCTGAGCGGCAGCCTGGTGGCCATGATCGCGGTCTGAGTGGCAGTCTGGCGGCCCTGATCGTGGTCTGAGCGGCAGTCTGGCGGCCCTGATCGTGGTCTGAGCGGCAGTCTGGTGGCCATGATCGCGGTCTGAGCGGCAGTCCGGCGGCCCTGAGCGCGGTCTGAGCGGCAGCCTGATGTTCCTGATCGCGGTCTTAGTGGCAGTCTGGTTATCCTGGTCGCAGTCTGAGCGGCAGTCTGGCGGTCATGATCGCGGTCTGAGCGGCAGCCTGGTGGCCATGATCGCGGTCTGAGTGGCAGTCTGGCGGCCCTGATCGTGGTCTGAGCGGCAGCCTGGTGGCCATGATCGCGGTCTGAGTGGCAGTCTGGCGGCCCTGATCGTGGTCTGAGCGGCAGTCTGGTGGCCATGATCGCGGTCTGAGCGGCAGTCCGGCGGCCCTGAGCGTGGTCTGAGCGGCAGTCTGATGTTCCTGATCGCGGTCTTAGTGGCAGTCTGGTTATCCTGGTCGCAGTCTGAGCGGCAGTCTGGCGGTCATGATCGCGGTCTGAGCGGCAGTCTGGCGGCCTTGATCGCGGTCTGAGCGGCAGCCTGGCGGCTCTGATCGCGGTCTGGGTGGCAGCCTGGCGGCTCTGATCGCGGTCTGAGTGCCAGTCTGGCGGCTCTGATCGCGGTCTGAGTGCCAGTCTGGCGGCTCTGATCGCGGTCTGAGTGGCAGCCTGGCGGCTCTGATCGCGGTCTGAGTGGCAGTCTGGGGCCTTGATCGCGGTCTTGGCGGCAGTCTGGTGATCCTGGTCGCAGTCTGGCGGGTTTGACGTGACCCAGGCGGTGTGGATTTTCTCCCCTGCCCCCGCCTGTGATGACTGTTCGGGGCCCGCTTGGGCGGGCTGGCCGGCCGCACTGCAGTGAAAGGCGTCCGCAGCGATCTGACGTCGTCAGGCCCGTTATCTTCTTTAGCCTTCTGTCCCCCGGGAATCCTGAACCGTTGGCCTTCCCTGAGCGCGCCGACCGAGTATCCACACCCCGCTCTCGGTAATTGCCTTCTGCGTTGGGATCGGCGCTGGCCGCCCCTGCGATGCACTGGTGGGCGGTGTGGCAGTGCGTGGGATTTTTCCCGTTGTGTGAAGTGGGACAACAGGGCCGGTGTCGCGCGGCTGACGTGGGCAGCTCTCGTTGGCCGGAATGCTTCTTTTAAGCGTTGTTGGGGTGTCCCGCGCAGGGGCGTGGGTGGCCTCTTTACCGCCGGAGTTCATGTGGGGAACACGGATCACGGGCATGGCAAGAGGAGGTTCCGATACGCGGTGGATTTGTCTGCTGTGCTCGTACGCTTGCTTAATAAATATTTATTTAACGGCGATTTGCGTGTCATGTTACGGTTTGGTGTAACAGCACTCTGCGCATTTGCACCTTGGACTCAGAGCTCCGAATGTTAGCACTGTGTCATGCGGCATGTCATTATAAGTGTCCAAACATTTCAAGTCCGACAAATTGAATGGAACAGGATGGTTGCTTCTGACATTTGTTGCTCGCAAAGGCAATACGCACGGACGTCTCGTGACGTGGATCCACCAGGATCTGGACGCGAGCGCCTGGCGCTGGGCTGCTGGCCTCTGGAGCTCCTCAGCTCATGACGCAGCTCCGCTGCGTGTGGTGCCCTCCTGCTGGACTCCGAGCAACGGCAGCCCAAGGGCAGAACGGGCGCCGCGACCCCTCGCCGGTGACGGTTGGTGGAAACCCCTGGTTTCATCGACGGTGCGATCAAAGGCGGAGTGCCACCCTCCGACCGATTTCCGACGGGGCTTCTCGGGACCGCCAGCTCCTTTTGAGCATTTGCATCGCAGACGTCGGTACATCTAGACCGAGACGGTGGCACCTCTGTGGTCGCTCGCGCCCGCCGCTCTCCACAGCGCGAGGTGGTGACGAGCTGCTGAGGAGAGTGGAAAGCCCCGTGCTGGCGAGACCTGGGGAAGGCTCACTCGAGCCACTGTGACGTCACAGATAGTCTCCCCGTATGTGTTACTGTTTCTCGGTTTGTTCTCAAGCGAACCCGACCGGTCGCTGCGCATTGTTCGCCGAGCGGCGTGAAGTGCGTGTGGCTTTGTAACGAATCGCCAACCACCAGCCGCCTCGGCACTCCCATTCTCCGGTATTTGTAGTGCTGCAAACATTAAAAATAAAAATAGGCTAATTGCTCAATTAGTCAGGGAAACGAAGAGTTTCCCTCGCTGCATAATTCGTACACAGCAGGCTGGGGCCGCTGCCGATGGTTTAGGCTCAGTTTCGTGTTGGAGATCCGTAATAGACTGAGAGTAGGATAATGTTCGGTAATAACCTTGCCTTAACGTAGCCGCACACTGCTGACTTCAGTCTCAAAATCGGGTAAAATGCAAACGTTTGTAAAAGATGCAATGACTGTAAGTCAATGCTTCGGCAAACATGGCCTCTTCAGGTGAGTAAAAATGTTATACTGCAGCTTGAATTGTTTAAGGTTGCGAAAGGACACCTTCGCGCAATACGCGATTTTTTATTTAAGTCCTCGCTTGTCTGAGAGCATTGTATGCCCTCAACTTCTACTGGTCTTGTGCTTTGATTATTTGGGGAACATTTTTAAAGCTTTGTGCAGCGTGGTAGCATCGAGTACTCACCGATATGCAACTGCACCCATTTTACTCGGACTTCGCCTAGCTTTACCGGGTTTTCGATCGTCTTGCTGGAAATTCTGGGTACACTACGGCTCGTACTACATCATCCGGGTCATGTGTTGCGCTCGACGGGGGTGTCACCAGCTTCCCGCCAGGCCGGATGTGTGTATCAACACGATAATACGCTCTTGTTTCAGTCGGATTGTTTTAGAGCCGGGGCTACCGATTGCCATTTCACACCACGCCGGTATGTGATATACATGATGTGTGAGAGGATCAGCCAATCGAATCATCGCACTGGACAGCGCGTGGCCAGCTGTACACAGAAGCATGCATGGACGCGATTGCTAGCGCGCTCGCTTGCCGTTGTCGCAGTCGAGGCGTCCTCGCCCCGTTAAGCCACGGTCTCGACAGCTGCGTGCCTGTCACACGCCTGGACAGCCATCGCGCGGAGGGTCGCCAGCACACCCGCCAAACTCCAGCCAGCGCCTCAGCGCCCGGGGCTTCACGTCAGGCGCTGGGAAATGGGCGTGGCATCCTGCGCCGATAAAGACGAGCGATTTTCCTGCGACTGGTTGCTTGGGGCACTGCGACCATAGCATTACGAGATGCTCAAATTTTGAGTGGAAATTGGTCACCGTGAACTTGGGCTCAATACGGTGCCAACTGTCAACTTCCTGACCGCAAGCTGCCTACAATATCACAGTGTTGGTTGTCTAGGTGATGTCCAGGCGGTGCATGCACCCACAGTGGCGACCGTTTCACAGGCTATCTGCTGGAGCTGCCAACATCTGACATCTGTTCTGAACAGCTCCCAAACCTGAACAATTTGTAGTTTTTGCGTGACCTCACGTGCGCGGTGGCTCGCATTGATTCGCGATTTTTTCGCTATTTGATTGCCTGATATATTCGGAGTCGAGACGTGTTGAATCCGTTCGATGTTACTGCTCCTTGTGCTATGAACCGACCTTTGGCATGCATTTTGACGTTTGGAAATGCGCAAGCCTCGTGTTTCCCATGTTAAACCAAAAGAGCGCGTTTTCACGCGCGCCGACGGCGCCGCGTTGCTCAGCTTTGGTGCTAAATATGCTATGATTATGCAATACTGTTGGACAGTCTACGAGCCAAATACTGCGTGGTCAGCCCGTACGGACCGATCAGGGACGCATTTGCCCCGTCTGATGGGGGCAGATTGATGATGGTGTGATGATGATCTGACTCTTAGAATGCGCCGACTGCATTGGTCCCGTGGCGCTGATGGGGAAGAGTTGGCCTAAATAGGTCGGTTCGCGCTATCTGTTGTCTTGGCGTGCCTCGATTTTTCCAAGCTCTGCTTTTCACGTCACTATTTTTTGACGATCTTTTTTACTTTCCGGCGAGGGTTGGGGAGGCTGGGAAACCGGAGTGACCATCTGTAGCTGTGGCTTCACTGGATAGTCGCTGGCTTGGAAGTCATGTGCAATATAACTTGTGTCGCAGGTAACATCTTCTGGAGTCGATGAAAATTAACAGCCCGGCAAAACTCGTTCCACGTGTATATATTTGCACGTCTTGGGTGTGTGAATGAGTGGTGTAAAGTAACACCACAACGCGTTTCTTTGAGGTCAAGTTCAGTGATCTACGGTGTAGATCAGAGGGGGAGAGAGAGAGAGAGAGAGAGAGAGAGAGAGAGAGAGAGAGAGAGAGAGAGAGAGAGAGAGAGAGAGAGAGAGAGAGAGAGAGAGAGAGAGAGAGAGAGAGAGAGAGAGAGAGAGAGAGAGAGAGAGAGAGAGAGAGAGAGAGAGAGAGAGAGAGAGAGATCATGTTGTTAGGAGAATGCGTCAAGAGGACGCCTCGAGCTGGTATGGCGTCGTTTTCATTCTTACATTCAGTGAAAAAGTTAGGAGTGATCGAGTGATTCATATGCCCTTGAAACAGCCGGCAGCTGCGCTCGCATTGAGCGCGCACCCCAAAAACGTCATGTATGTATCGCAGGAAAACAGATCTAAGAGTGGCATCAACCTGAAGTTTTAAATGATGCATGAACAGGAGAGGTACCGGTGGACTCAGTTTGTTCCCCATGACTATCTCGGAGCTTTGCTTGCATAAATGAAGTGTCTTCCAGTCGAAAAAGGCTGTGGTGCAAGTGTAATGCTAAGACGTTTTCCACATCAAGTACTTGCGATATCTATAAATAACCCAGCGTCTTGATAAAAAGAACTGCAAGTGCCTTTTGCGAAAGCTTGACACATGTGGGTAAATGTTTACACCACACCTAGACTCTAATGCAGCCCAACATCTTGCGTATCTGCAGTCATAGCTCAGCCTCTTGGCAGAAATATATTAGGTGCCGGATGCGTCGTGCGCGCTGTGACAACCTTGCTGGCGAGCTGCACGCCACGCGAGGGGTAGGACATTACGAAAAGATGCGTTATAGTAAGATATGTCATAAGCCGCTAGTCATGACAACTTCATAACGCTGCAATAGAAGCAATGTACCTTACCTGAAGGGAAACTGAGCGGGGTTAAGCTGGCACAAATAAAGAATTCAGAAAGAAAATCAAGACCATTGATCGGCGCTCTTTATTTTCATGCGTTAAATTTTACTTATCATTTATGACTGCGTCAAAATGATCCCCAGACAGACATCGTGATATCTACTCTAGGTGGCCAACAAAATGTGAGCAGTCTGTCGACCTGGTCAGTATTGTGAATGGTATCTGTCCGATCTTTTAAACAACAATTTATATCACAAGTTGTGGAGCACCCATTTAGAATCATGCACAATGCGCTGGAAGCCGTGTTCGTGCCAGAGTCGTACGCAGGAATGAGCAGTTAAAAGTGAACACGGGTCCTCCCGTGTGACCGCCGACGTCGCATCTGCATGAGAATCTATTATACTCTGCGTGCAAGGTATTTATATATATATATATATATATATATATATATATATATATATATATATATATATATATATCATTTATGATTATTAATAGAACATGTGCATTTATAATAAGAAGATATGATACCTTCATAGGCATCTGTAGCTTTGGCTCCAGGGGATATCCGCTGGTTTTAAGTTACGTGCAATATAGGTTGTTCCGCGGGTGATAGCCTCTGGAGTAGATGAAAAATTAATAGGCCGTCACAATACATCATGTCATATCTTCATATATCATAAGCTCTGACAAGAAGATACATATATATATATATATATATATATATATATATATATATATATATATATATATATATATATATATATATTATAGATTATATATATATATATATCTCTCTCTCTCTCTTCCTCATCTCTCTCTCTCTCTCTCTC